TTGGGTTCGTAATTCTTTCTTTTTTTATTAAATTGATGAGTTACTAGCCAAACTATTCTTAAAAAATTATAAAAATAAAAAATAGCCGTTGACCGGTTGACCAGCCAGATATCTGGTAACACTGTTGTAGCGATGAACAATACCTCGCTTGTTGTAGTGAGGTACTGTAACACTTATAAATTAGCGATGAACAGTAACGAGGTTGCTGCACGTCTATTTTTTATGAACAATATCACTAATTTAGCTAAAAAACAATTTTAGCTAATTTGACGTGGATGGTATGTGTATACAAAGATGGTGCTTATATATTAGGGACAATTACATGTGAGAGGATTTCACAGAAAAAAATTAAAAGAAATAACAAATATTATAAATATTAATAATTAAAATCATAAATTTTTTTCATTATTTTGTAATCATTTTCGAAAATACCTTGAATAGTAATTTCCCCCATATATTACGGGAAAATTATTTGTGAAGTATCTTCAAAAAAATAATTACAAATTCATAAAAAAATTATGATTTTGCTTTTTAATGTTTATAAAGAAAAGAAAAAAAGAAAAGAAATATTAAGGGTCTATTTGGTTTAATTTTAAAATTATATTTGAGTATAGAATTGTATTTTGAGTTTTGAGGTTTTGAATTATGATTTGAAAATTAAAAAAAAAAATTGTTTGGTTATGAGTTTTGAAAATAGTTTTGGAATTGTTTGTAATTTTTTTAATTTTATTTTTGATTGATTGATACATAGAATGTGAGAGAATGTGAGGGGAAATAAGAGAGATGAGAGAAAAAAATAATTGATTAATAATAATAATAAAAGAGAAGATAGGAGTTTTAAAAATAATTTTGAATTGTATTTTAAAAATATATTTAGTTTACATGTTACATCCAAATCATAATTTAAAAACAGAGTTAAATTTTGAAAAATAAACCAAACGTTACATGAGTTTTCTCTTTCTCTTGTTTAGATGCATAAAAGCAAAAAATAAAATAACTATTTCTCATATATGTTTGGCATGAACTTTTTTGACTATTTTAATTATAAAAAGATAAAATAGATTAAAAAAGTAATAAGATAAAATATCATATCAAATCATAATTATTTTATTTTTCTTTCACAAAAGTCAAAAAGTCTATCACAAGCGAAACTTTTTATCTCAGACTAAAATAATTAAAAAATCAACTCACATCCCAAACGACGGCAAAACATTTATTTGGCTAACTTAGTTGAGTTAAAAAAGCAAAAAGACAAAATAAGCTAACAAGACAAGGTCCTCGTTTGTGTGTTTGTGTATGTGGTAAAAAGCAACGTTTGTGTGTTTTGGTAAAAAGCCAAACGTTGGTTTTTTTTGTCTAGAATCCCCTTTGGAAAGCAGCTTAAACGCAAAATGGCAATTTACAAATATATCCACTCCATTCACTTTAGGTTCGCAGAAACACTTCACCAAATGGGATTTGGGTATTTTGGTCAATTTATAGTAAGGCATGGTGATATGACGACATAAAAAAGTATTAAGCAAAATAGTCAAAAGTTTGGTTAAGAGCCAAAAAAATAACTTTTTATCATCTTCTCAAAACATCTCAAATTGTTATATTCAAATCATAATTATTTCATTTTTTTTCTTTACAAAAAGTAAAAAAAACCAAATCAAACAACTTTTTAATTCCAAACTAAAAAAATCACAACTCAAAAATGCCCAAAAGCAACTCAATTTTTTTGAAGATTAGAGACAACCCTTTGGTGAGCATCATCGACACCACCATATAAATATTTTTTGGACGAATTATACTAACAGTTCCTATAGTTTTGGACTCATGTCACTTTGGTTCCTGATTTTTCAATTGTGACATAATTGACTCTAAATTTTGAATCTTGTTCCAAATAAGAACAATTGAATATACCATTTAATTTTTTTTTACCAAATTAATTTTTATTATGTGTTTAGATAATGATCATGTAATGGATGATTGTTAGGCTTAATGTGTAATCGATATATTTAATATATGAAATATTTTTAGTTTTGGATTTCTTGATTTAATGGATTAGTTTAATAATAATATCAAAATTGTTGCTATATTTGACTTTTAGAAAAATAAAAACTAATTTAATGAAAATAAAAACAATCACTCATCACATGATCATCATCCAAATACATAATAAAAATTAATTTGATAAAAAAATAAATAAATTCTAAAAGATTTATCAATTTTATATAATTTTATCTTTAGTAGATAGAAATAATTTTTAAAAATTGAAAAATATCTTTTTGACATTTATTTTTGTCAAATTAGTTTATATTTTATCAAATTGACGACTTTGCCCTTGAAATTGAGCAATAATATCTTCAATTGTCTTTACTTAGAATAAGATTCAAAATTTAGGGTCAAATATGTTACAGTTAAAAAGTTAAGAATCAAAGTGACATAAAATCTAAACTATAGAAACTATTAGTGTAATTAGGGTTGGTTTGGCAAGGGCTCATTGGGCTTTTTTGGCTCAATGATCCATAAAAGACGGAATAGGCTCATGAGCCACAACAGACAAAACATCTCATCCAACCCCATAATCATTACACTCTTCTCTCACAAAAAAATCAAAAAAGCCTAAAAGTCAAAAGCCCTTCCCAAACTAAGTTTTTGAGCCCAGGTTCATATAGTTAAAAAAACCAAAAAGTCAAAAAGTCAACCCACTTCCCAAACGAGGCTTAGTTTATATATTTTTTTACTGTAGTACTTATTTGAAATTTTCATTATTTAGTGGTACAGTAAAAAATAATTGCATTATAGATTTTTTTTTTTTAAAATTGATGAATGAATTAATACCAAACACATAAATAACTTATACCATACATATAAGAAATTTACGCTATCATAAAAATATAAATATTTTTTCCCTGTCTTACGTAATTTCTTTAACAATAATGTTACGTTTCTTTAATTTATTATTCTTAATCACCCCTAATGATGTGACACTAAAATTATACCTAACGTGATAAAATATTTAATAAATTAAAATTTAACACTTATCAAAACATATCATTAAAAATAATAAATTAAATATTTCAAATATTTAGGTAACATTTGATAGCATTTAAATTTTTTATTTATATTTACAAAAATTTTATAAACTAATTTTTATTTATTTTTAAAAAAACATAAACTATAAACGCGTTTAGTTTAAACAAAATATTTAAAAAAATTTAAAACCATAAACTGAAAAATATGTTTGTTTAGATTTAAAATATTTATATTTATTTTTTATTTTTCATTATTTATAACAATAGAATTATACATATTATAATTGAAAAAAAAATTATTTGAAAAAAAATAAATTGAAAAAAAACTTATTTGAAAAAAAAAAAATTATTAGTCAAAATTTTAGATTTTTGTTTAAAAATCAACGTAAACTAAAAAATGAATTTACGTTTTTTTTTCTTAAATTTATAAACTGAAATAATCATTTATAAACTAAAAAAATTATCAAAATTTTTTTTATAATAATTTTTAAAATTTTTTAAATATAAACTTACCCTGTCTCACAATTATTTCTCCTATTTTACAGCACAGTTGAGGATTTTGTATTGTTTGTTTTTGGGTAAGTAGGATTTTGTATTGTTGTTCACGCAAAGGCAGAGACCCAAACAGACGTCAGGCTTAGCTGGGTCCACCTCTGGTCAATGGTCACTCCTTTACTTACACTGACTACTGTTCGAGTCTCTGATGCTGAGAGAGAGACACAGACAGAGACAGCGGCATGCCCAGAGATTTGTTGTAGAAAAATGCTTGGAAACACTAATTAGTGCTCCCACTAATTAGGTGACAGTGGATCTCACTAATTAGTGCTCCCACTAATTAGGTGACAGTGGATCTCGCCATTAATGATGTGATGTTTTAGTCTTAGAGTTTTATTTTATTTTATTTATTTTTTACTTTTTTAATACATTAGTGCTATTAGTGGTGATGTTTTTAATGGGATGAATCATTGTTGTTTGTTGTATGCTTGTGTAAATTACACTCATCTGCTTAGCTGGGTCCACCTCTGGTCAATGGTCACTCCTTTACTTACACTGACTACTGTTCGAGTCTCTGATGCTGAGAGAGAGACACAGACAGAGACAGCGGCATGCCCAGAGATTTGTTGTATGCTTCTGTAAATTACACTCATCTCATCTCCCATGAAATTTGAAAAATATACTATATATAATTAATTTAATAAATTTGATATAATGACACAGTTTTATTAAAATTCAAGAGATAAATTACACTAAACCCCATCAACTATTACTCCATATCACTTTGCCCCGTCAACTACAAATGGTAACAATTAACTCCATTCGTCTACTAATTTTTTCCAATTTGGACCATTCTCATTTTCAACATTCTTCAATCCATCTTTTTCTTATATTCTGCTTATATTCTTTTCATTTCCAACTATATTCTCTTATATTCTGCTTATATTCAATTTCAGTCTAAATGTTCTGCTTATATTCTCTTCATTCCCAGGAAATACCCAAAATCATGATTGTTCAACCTTAAGTTTCACTGTTGCTATCAAACCTCACCCTTCTACAGTCTCATTTAGAAATAAACTATTTTAATAATTTTTTAATTTTTTATAAAAAGATATACAGAAAAGTAAAAAGAGTGGTCTGACAACTTGTAACTTTTTGACTAAAATACTTAATCCCAAAACGAGGCCTAAATCAACAATAAACAAATAAAAGTGAAACCGGACAAGCTATTTTGGTGATAAGCCAACCACCATCTCAACCCCCAATCCCCAAATAAAACTGTACAAACAAATAAGCCAAGTTCAACCAAGAGTGGACAGATTTGGGATGAAAGTTACTTGCCTTACACCAGAAACGGGGTATGGAAATGCGCTTGAAAGCCGGTGGCAATAGCTAACAATCTATTTTGCTCAAGAAGTAATGTTATCCCAAGTTCAGTCTTTGAAGATTACCTGAAAAAAAATTGACAAGGCAAGAAAGCAAAAAAGAAGAATCTCCATACCTTTTCTATGGAAGTATCTCACACAGAATAGGTTTCACAAATAACTAGAGTTACTTGATCTTTCTGTCTACTGTAAATGTGCACCATTGTGTCAAATAAAGAAGTAATAAAATAAAACAACATACATCTTTATCAAATAAACTTTTTTGTTTCCTATTTCCACCATAAATTAACCAGCAAATCAACCTCATAACTGCAAAATTTAGCCAATTGGCTACAACAACCATTTAATGGATTTGTGTTTTTGATGGCACTCTAGGTCCATTTTGTCGTGCAACTCTAATCACTATCATGACCGACTTTTTTTCTCCTAGATCATAACGCTGCTCTTTTGGCAGTTCAGTTGGTTTATGCGAAAACAAGTTCATATCAAGTCTGGCCTCCAACTTTAGCTGATACAGGAAACGATTGCCTACCAGTTGGGGTCGATAACGGATCAGCCATCAAACCCATCAGCTTATTCTTTCCCTCCTTGAAATGTAAATGGCCTTTCATTTTGCTGTCCACAACACGACCCATTTGGACAAGAGGCCCTAAAGAAGCAGCCCTGACATTGACACTCTCCAACCCACTCTTCTGCCAAGCAGCATTACTTATATCCGTGGCTATTGCAGCCAACTCGTGACATGGAAAGAATTGAGTCTCTGCATAGTCCACAAACTCAGGCCCCAACAAAGAGCTTCGAGGTTTTCCCTTACTTTCAGTCCCACAACAACCATGAGCACATTGGTGAGGTATTAATCGGTCTCCACAAGCTCCTTCAAGCAATTTGTAGATCCCAACATCTGGTCTCGAGGCTTGAACCAAAGGCCCTTGCATAGGAATAGAACTTGGAAACGAGGACACAGTTTCAGGACCATCCAAAATATTATATACATTAAATGCACTGACACGTGCCACAGGACGGAAAAGGGTAGGTGGTTCTTTTGCTTCATTAGTAGATTGACCTTCTGGTTGAGCCTTGTCTTCACATAGCTCTTTTATGTTTTCTCTAGAGGTGACATCTTTTCCTTCCAAGGAATTGAATGAATTAACATCTCCACATGATAGAGTTTCTTCAGATGATGCTTTGGATATGTCCATGTTGAAGTCTCCCAACATATTGCTGGATTCTAGCTTAAACTTGCGACGTTCCGTGCACCGGCGCCTCAGGGTAGAATTCCAGTGGTTCTTAATTGCATTGTCTGTTCTACCTGGCAGAAGCCTTGCGATTGATGCCCATTTGTTTCCATGAATAGCATGGGCCCGAACTATGATGCGATCCTCTTCATCTGAGAAGCATAAATTTGGTGAGGTAGCACATATGTATATGCCCGCACATTGAGCGCGTGCGCACACACACACACACACTTATCATGAAATCACCACAAAGATGAAAAGGTCGAGCTACAATTCAAGCCTTCTCATCTGTAATAAATTCAGTACTTTGTGAGCTATGCTCATTCAGAATAAAACTAAATTTATGCATGACATGATGATAAGTGTTGTGTTTTTAATAAATAAGTGAGCGAAAATAGAACCACTACACATCTAATGTGGTCACACAGGGCATCATCAACACTTTTTGCTATGACTACTGATATCAGCATGAGCATCACAAGTTTGCTGGGAACCATGAACTTCTTGAGGTAGAATGCATGCATACACACGTGTGTGTGTGTGTGTGAAAACACACACATGCGTGCACACACACCATGAAACCACTGTAAAGATGGAAGGGTTGAACTTTGCATGCTGATTCTCACATTTGCCTCCAGATCAGACAGTCAGAAGTAGTAAAACATGTTCTATGTTACATAAAAATTTCTATTAACCTCCCACATTCCCGTGTCTACATGACATGACAATGGGTAAGGTGTGAGATATGTGCCACACAAATATAAGACATGAAAGCTTCTATATGTAGACGAATTCTCAATAATTGGTGTGACTGAAAGTTCCCTAAATTTGACTCTTCGTGGCAATTTCCCATAAAAACATAAATCACTTGGGGTCTGTTTGATTAGAAGGATTAATAGTGAGGGGATTAATAATTCCACAAAGTTAGTGTAGGATATGTTATCCAAATAGATTAGTGGGATAAATAATCTCCTTATTTATGTTTGTTTTGCAATCAATATGGAAGGATTTAGTTGGGGTATTAAACCTATTTTCCTCTGCTTTGCTTTCATTACCCTGCTTACAAATACTCTGATCATGTCGTTTTAGTTTATACATTCAATGTGCAAAACAGTCCTATTTACTTTCAATCTCATCTCTGGATTATCAGTACCAAAGGCCCCCTCGTATTCATCATACCACGTTTTCGTGGGATTGTCTGTCCAACGGATAGGTAATCCGAGCAACAATATTACAACCAAACGTCGGAAATATGGGCCACGGATATGTAATCCTAATCCCATGCCTTATTACTGCAAATCAAACAGCCCCTTAAAGCCAGATCAATGCATTGGCATACTAACTTCAAATAAATAAACAATTTCTGGGAATTTACTTTGCCCAACACTTCATGTTAGTATTGAAATGTGATATTCCAGTTCATTTCAACACAACATAATTCTATGTAGTAAATTTTGTTTGTATAGGTGCATTATGATTAAGTAAATACATGAAAGATCAACTATGGAAATGATGCTGCTCATAGACAATCATTATCCTCTAATTGGAATACTGTTTCACACGCACAAAGGAAACACTAGTCTTAAACAACATCTGTTCATACACATCGATATTGTGAGGTTATAAGCTATTGCACATGCAACAAAGAAAAAGAAACTATTTCAATACTGGATTGGAGTGCATCAAGTTAAGATATGGGATTTCTTTCATGTCAATGTAATGAAGTTCTTTTATAAAGCCAAAGAAAAAAAAAAGAAAAAGAAAAAGAAAGAAAAGATATCACACATAAATGTCATTAGAAAGAAAAGAGATCATACACAAAGTACAAACAAAAGCACATAAATGTCATTAGAACATATACAAGGCTATGCAGCACTTACTAAACTTGGTGGTCAACGAAAGATTAATCATACAAAAGTATTTCCTTTTAGACCAACAAATTTGTGAGCGAAATGACCAATCAAGATTGGCCATCAAGAAATTTAAGCCAGGAATACTACTACGGAATAATGGAACCAACTCAAGTTAGAACAATTTCAAAAGACTAGTAACAAGGACTAAAAACATTCTTTGCAAAACAACTGAAAATAAAATTAATTAGCCATGCAAAGCAATACGTAAGACCTATCGAGTGTTGGACATACTAACTTGTGCAATAACTACATACGCGCTCTTAATTAATAATCAGTAAAGCCAGTTTGTTACTCAAAACCAGTATGAGCAATCAATGGCTACACGTCAAAATGCACGAGACAATCTATAACTAACATAACATACCGACCGTTGGATTCCAAAATCATTATTCAGTGTACCCCTTGTACGGTTGCCGTCATTTTCTTGTTCTTTTTCTTTCCTTTCGTCTTAAATTTGATTGGAGATATTTAAAAACCACTTCATTGGTTATTCATTTGAAAACACTTCTCGACCCTAAAAATCCGAGTTTAGTAAAAGTAATGACTCTTCAAAGGTCTAAAATCAGGCAATGATGTACATAAAAGTTCTTAATAAATCTAAAACCTCACAAACCCAATTAAATCACAAACAGAAACTGCTTTCCACAAAAAAAAATAAAAACAACAACACCACAGTGATGTTGCTGCATTCTTGGACTAGAAGAAGAAAACATCAATCCTATCATGCAGAGAAAGATTAAAAAAAAAAAAAAAAACCGAAACATCACATCACAAGAAAAATTAGTTGCAAAGACAAGTTATTTATCATGAAAAATTCATCAATAGCCAAAGAAATTGATTTTTTAAGTCCAACCCTCGATTCAAAAACCATAAATAAACAGAACCCAAATCACAAAACATACAATGCAGAATCTGGAGATCCAAAACAAAGGGTTTAAAATTACCAGTAAAGGGTTTGCGCTTGACAGCAGGGTCGAGCTGATTACACCACCTAAGGCGGCACGACTTGCCCGATCTACCAGCAATTCCTCGGGCGATCAAGCTCCAATTCCTCGCCCCGAAGTTGCTGACGAGCCGACTCAGAATCGCGTCCTCTTCAGGAGACCAGGGGCCTTTTACTCTGTCTCTTGATTTCTTTCCAGCTTGGCCGCCGCTGCTTCCGCTTCCCTCTCCTCCTCCGACCACCGCCATGTCGATATCTTCGTTCTTTTCTTCGATATCGCCCCCGTCTGCGGCGGCGGCGACGACGACGGTTACGTCGTCGATTGCTGAATCAGTGGGCATTGTTTCGCTGTGTGTAGAGAGTATCTTTTCGTACTGTAGATACCCGCCTAATTGCACAAAAGCGTTTTCTTTTTTGTTTGTTTTTGTTTTTGTTTTTTGGGTTGTAATAACTGAGAAGTGAAGTGAGTGAGATAGATTCACGGGGCTGGTGTTTTTCGGGGAATCAATTGTTTGGTTTTCAAACTCAATATTTCGTTGGATGTATTGTTTTAGTTTTCATAATTTTAATTGATTTTAATTTTGACTTGTAATTTTAAATTTTAGGGTCATTGACCTAATTAATAATATTGTTAAAGTTTTTGATACAAATTTTTTAATGAATTAATTGAGATAAGCTTCTAAATTGATTAAGTTTATAATTTCTCGTACAAGTATGACACGTGCCGTTCTTATGTGCATTTGTCATTAAAAATTTTAACATTTAAAAATAATTGAACCAATTTAAGACCCAAATATATATATGTATATATATTGTTTCATCTACCGAATATGAGAGCCTGAGCTCTTCTTGAATGAAGTGGTAGTCCCCACGTGAATTCTCTACTCACGTGAGTGATAGAAAACTCTTTTCAAACGCTCATTTCTCTCTTTTCTCTCCTTCCACCCTCCTCTCTTCTATCTACATCCCTCTGGTTACCATTATTGTAACAGCCGCCAACGACCTTTTTTCTAGCCTGGCGAGATAATTCTACCATTTCTGGTGGCAACCCCATCGACAATTTCCCTTCCAAGCCTCTTTCCTCCAGTGGCAATCTCTTCCCCGTTGTCCCTTGCCTCCCTCTCTTCGTTCTCTTCCTCGATCGCCTCTTGTGCATCACTCTCTGCTATATCGTGACCTAACCATGCTGTCTCCCCCTACTTGCCCATCGCCTTTTGTCGTTGCCTTTTCCAACTGTCACCTAATCGGATTCTGAACCATATTTGAAGATTTCTAGATATGGTATAAATGTAGGAGGAGAAAGTTAAGGGACTGCGACGAAAGAAAAATATTTTCTTACTTGAGAGTTGTCGGATGAGTCGATTCAAGCAAGATAGATGGGTTTTTTTTAGAGATTTGAAACAGGAAGGCGAAAGGAGAGGAGATGTGGTCGGTTTGTGTTACACCCAGCGGTGTGTGTGTGTGTGTAAATTAAATGTGTAAATAAAATAAACAACAAAATAAAATAATTCAGAAAATAATTATATAAATTAAATTTCGAATTAAATGCTTACAGAAATTAAAGTTAAGGCTTGTGTTAGATACAATCTCCTTAAAGTAGATTTCGGCGTCTACTTCCCAAGATGTAACGACTAACACTTGAATTTGCAGCACTACAAAAACAAGTATGGCGAACCAAATTATATTGTAACTCTTTCTCTTTCTTTTCCTAAAAATAAATGCAGAAACAGATACTATAGTGCAGGAGGACGAATTGAAGAAGAAAGGGAACAAGTTTGGAATTTTTTTCGATGCAAATAAATGCTGGAATGACAGGGTATATATAGGAAAATTAATGGCTATTCGAACAGGTACCAAACAGATAGAAATCTGTTCGGACAAATTGAGCAAGTGTGATTTGAATTTCAATAGGTAAAAAACTTGTTCGGGTAGAACTCAACAGGTAGAAAACTTGTTTGAACCTTTTGAACTTGTTCGGGTGGGTTAGGATCCGTTTAGGTGAAGGAAAAAATTTGGACCAATTTATTTTGAATTTTGAAACCAAAATAAAAATAAATAAATAATTTACAAATGTTTTTGGCTCAAAAAGAAAAGTATTGGTCCGGACAAGCCCAACTTAACCTCACACCACGCACCTGCGCCCAAGCCCAACCCAGGCCGCCCTACTGGACGGCGACGTGTGTGTGATTTTAGTTTTGGGTCCAATGGGTCTAGTCTACTTTACACATAACCTCACCCTTCCATAAACTTGGGTACCCTTTGGGGGCCATCCCAAGTATCTCATGCTAAGGTATATAAACCCATTCAAAATTTTAAGCCTTTCCAATGTGGGATAAGCACATTTCACAAATGTGTAGGAAACCCACCTAAATTCATTTCCACGAACCCGAAAATGCGCGTTGAATTCTCATTCATCCGGAAATGGTTTTGAGCAGCCAAATACATGATGTTATTCACTACGCGACATTAAACATGAACCTAATGAAAAACGTTAAAAATAATACTTGGGTCTTACCTTAATTTATGCTTAAAGTTAGCAAAAAATAAGGAATTTTCAAAGCCATTTTTCTAACAATCTCCCACATGAATGGAATTCATGAGAGCGGACATGCAACAAGATACAAACAAAGAAAGAGTACATTAAAAAAAAACACCACATCGAGGTATGTAGCTTTTGGCTTTGAACCTCCTCTAGTGAAAGCTTATCGAACTTACTGGCTAACCAGTGGACGTGATGCCTTGAACTGTTCAATTGTTTGTGTAAGCCAAGGCAATAGACTACACATAGTGTAATCGCAGACATAGTTTGGTTTTTACGATTGTGTTCTTTTTGGCCCTGAACAACGCTTGGTAATTCATGAGTGCTCTAGAGAATTTAGCCTTCGCAATTCTCACAAAATGGGCCCAGTTCACACTCATATAAGTGATTTCTTGTTAAGAGTATCTTGTTATACCCCACTTGGATGCCCAAGCTATAAGAATCATTAAAAGCAAAGCTGATCTTACTAACGCTACAGGTATCACTCTTCTTATCATAGAAATGGGTAGGAGTAAACTTCTTTAGTGATACGTGAGGTCATCCATAATTTGGTTCTTGGGATCTCCAGTCAACTAGGTTTGGTTGCCATTATAGCGACTTTTAAGTAATAGGCTTTAATCTCATTCTCTTCGATAAATGGTACACTTACTCTCTGGCTAGCCCTTTAGTCAATGGATCCGCAATGTTCTCCCTTAACTTTACATATTTTATGGAAATTATTCTATGTGAAATCAAATGCTTAACGGTATTATGTCTTCGACGAATGTGTCGAGACGTGCCGTTGTACATATGATTCTGTGCCCTTCTTATTGTTGTTTCACTATCACCGTGAATGCATATATGTGGCACATGTTTAGGCCACATTTGAATGTCTTTTAAGAAATTACGAAGCCATTCTGCTTCTCCTCTTGTTTTATCTAATGCGATAAACTCATATTCCATTGTTGACCTTGCTATGCATGTCTACTTGGAAGATTTCTAAGAAACTGCAGCACCTCCCAGGATAAAGGCGTATCTACTAGTGGATTTTAAGTCTTTAATATCCGATATTCAATTTGCATCACTATACCCCTCGAGTACTGCTGGATATTTGGTATAACGAAGGCCATAATTTTGGGTATGCCTTAAATACCTAAGTATCCTAATTATCGCTTTCCAATGATCGGACCCTGGATTACTTGTGTACTTACTTAATTTGCTTACAACATAGGCTATATCTAGCCTAGTGCAATTCATTAAGTACATCAAGCTTCCGATTATCCGAGAGTACTTTAATTGTAATATGCCTGCACTTGTATTTTTTGACAAATGAAGACTAATGGCAACAGGTGTTTTAGTAAGACAGTCGTCATGCTTTCCAAATTACTCTAGAATCTTCTCAACATAGTGAGACTGAGATAAAGCATATCCTTTATATGTTTTAGTAATTTTTATTCATAGAATTACATCTGCTACTCCCAGATCTTTCATGTCAAACTTTTTGTTCAGCATTTTCTTTGTGAATTTAATCATGTCATTATTGCTTCCAATAATGAGCATGTCATCTATATAAAGACAAACTATGACATAGCCTTTATCTGTGCTTTTAACATAGACGTATTTGTCACATTCGTTTATCGTAAAACCATCTGAAAGCATAGCATGATCAAATTTTTCATGCTATTGTTTCGGAACTTGTTTTAATCCATAAAATAGATTTGACAAGTTTACAAACCTTTTTCTCTTGGCCGGGAACTTGAAACCCTTCTGGTTGTTCCATATAGATTTCTTCACCTAACTCGCCATTTAGAAAAGTTGTTTTAACATCCATTTGATGTATTTCCAGATTATACAAAGTTGCAATCGTAATCAACATGCAAATAGTTGTTATCCTTGTCACTTGCAATCGTAATCAACATTTTTCTCTTGAATATCCACTTATATCCAAGAGGTTTGCACCCTGATGAAAGATCCACCAGTTCCCAAGTATGATTTTGCAGTATTGATTCAATTTTACTATTCATATCCTCTCTCCACAATGGAGCTTCAGGACTTGACATTGCTTCCTTGAAGTTTTGATGCTCATTTTCTAACAGGTATGTTAGAAAATCTGGACCAAATGATTTAGAGATCCTAGCTCTCTTGCTATGTCTAGGTTCATCTACTTCATTTTCATTGTGGTCTTCACTGCTACCCATAGCAGTATCAAAAGTTCATTTATTTGAACTTTTCTCTTCAGTTTCCTTGCATGAAAAAATGCGTTTAAAAAACGACGTATTTTTTGACTCAATAATAGTGTTTACATGTATTTCAGGATTTTCAGATCTGTGAACTAAAAATCTATATGCACTACTATTATTTGCGTAACCAATGAACACACTATCAATAGTTTGTAGTCTTCTCTTAATCATTTTGAGACTAGGGACTATCACCTTGGCCAAACACCCCCACACTTTGAGGTAATTGTAGGTAGGTCGTCAACTTTTCCATAATTCATAAGGTGTTTGATTGAGTTTCTTGTGGGGTACCCTGTTTAGGATAAAGTTAGCAAACAAAATTGTCTCTTCCTACAAGTTCTGAGGTAACCTTGAACTAATCAACATGGCATTTATTATCTTTTTCAAAGTTTAATTCTTTCTTTCAGCAACTCTATTTGATTGAGGAGAATAGGGTGCAGTGGTTTGGTAAATAATACCATGTTCAGAACAAATTTCCTCAAATGGTGCATCATACTCACCACCTCTGTCACTTCTCACTATCTTAATAGTTTTGCCAAGTTGATTTTCAACCTCAAGTTTATATTGCTTAAAAGCTTTTAAGACTTCATCTTTACTTCTCAATAAGTAAACATAGCAATATTGAGTGCAATCATCAATAAAAATAATAAAGTTTTTCTCACCCCCTCTAGTTTGAACAAATTTTAAATTACAGATATCTGTGCGAATTAAACTTAAAGGTTTA